AGTGTGCATGATCTCGACGCCCTCGCGACCACCCCCTGTGGGAGCCAGATCCCTGGTCCTCTCTTCCACGTCGCGACGGCCCCTGGGTCGAACGCCGTGGGCATCCCTCTGCCTGCCGTCATCCGATCCAGGAAAGCGACTGAAGGTCGCAATATCTGTGCGTATTGCAGGGATGAACGCATCACCCCCTCCTCCAGCATCGTGCCTGCCGTTCTCAAGTCCATGGAAGCGACTGAGCGCTGCGTCGGCGTCGGAAGGCGCCCCAAGGGCTGAAGGCCCATCTCCCATGTTCAATTCGCGGCTGGAGGCTGCTTCACTCGGCGCAGGCGCGTCCAGAAGGGGAGGCTCGGCGGAGCGAAGGCACAAGCCTCTGTGAAGCGAGTCGGGGCCAAGGGCAGGCGTCTGCCCGTCTCCCCTCCCGTCGCCCTCACGTCGCAGAGGCCCCTGTGTCGAACGCCGAGGGCATCCCTCTGCCCCTCGTCAGACTGCCTACGAGGACCTGGAGCCGTGGGGGGATTAGCTGGTTCAGGAGTGGGGCCCTCGCCCCCCGTGCACCTGGCATCGCCGAGGGCGATCCCACTCTGCCCAGCACCGCCTGGAGAGAAAGAGATTGGGCGCCCAGCAATGGGCATGGGAAGGGTTGGGGTGAGAGAGGGGGATAAGCTAGGCGGGAGGGCAGCATGCCTGCCATTATCACATCCAGGGAAGCGACTGAAGGTCGTGTGCATCGCGGGGTTGAACGCATCAACCCCTCCTACCGTATCATGCCTGCCGCTCTCGAATCCGGGAAGCGACTGAAGGTCGCAATATCAGTGTGCATCGCGGGGTTGAGAGCATCAACCTCTCCTCCCGTTTGGCTGAAGGCCAACGGTTCTCGTGCGCATGAGGCGTCGGCGGAAGCGTTCCCACTCCAGGGAGCAGGGGGCGACGGCTGCCCTGGCGGGATGGCGTCTTGTGATCCAGGGCGAGGATGCCTTGAGTCAGCCAGTCCGCAGGCCCCAAGGTCGACGACTGGTGACGCGGTCATCGTCGCCCCAGGGATGGCAGGATCATCGCCGATCGATCGCCCATCCATGCTAAGCAGGAGGGCCGCGCACGTAGCCGAAGACGAGGAACCCAGGGAGTCTGCAATGGCGGCCCGGCCCCGGGGGAGACGCGCGGCCCAAAAGACTCCTAGGGGAAACCCCTTGAGCTGGGAGATCCGGCCGAGGGACCGGGGCCCAGAAACGGCTTGAGCCAGAGGGCTACGGACTGGTGGGGATATGCGAAGCGTCAAGAATTGAGAGGAAAGTCGGCGGCCGCATGCTGGAGGACGGGATGCTGACCTGGTAGAGGCTGGGAGTCCCTTGAGCGAAGCGGCAACACGATATTGAATGAGAGATGTGGCCGGCGCCTCGGCGAGAGCACGGGGCCCAGTGAAAGCTGTCTTCTGTTTCCGCCGTTTGCCCTCCCCTCCTCCTGCTCCTCCGTGCCCTCCTTCCGTCTTCCTGGGGCCCCTCCTGTTTCTCGCAATCCTCACCGTTCCTTCCTCTTCCTGCTTTTTCTCCTCCGTCCCGCCTCCTGCTCCTTTTCCTTCTCTGCCACGCGGGCCCATTCGGCGCGCGGGCCAGCCGAGCCAAGGACGACGTCTCAAGTCAATCAGAGTGTAATGAATTTGACGGCTCTAAGACTGAGTGGAGCTCCTGTTGGTGCTTTTGTATACCATCGGAGGGCCTTCTTGGGCTGTCCTGGGGCCCTCGTGGGCTGTCTGGGGGGGCTTGGGCCGTCCTGGGGCCGTGTTGGGGCTCTCTCGGGCCCTCTCTGAAGCATCCCCTGGCTCTGTTGGGGCCCTCTTGGAGGTCTTTTAGGGGTCTTTTGGGCGCTCCCTGGCTTTCTTGGCGCTTTATTGGCCCATCTTGGGGCCCCATTGGGCCGCCTGGAGGCCATCTCGGGGCGACCTCGGAAGCTCGCAGACCATTCTTGGGCCGTTCGTGGCCAGAAAAGGCGAGAAGCACAGAGTCGTTAAAAAACCCATGGAAAAGTAAGGTTTTTGGCCTGCTGAGGCCGTATTGGATGTCTTTGCGGGGGCATCCTGGGCCGTCTTGAGCCCATGTTTGGTCCTGTTGGAGCACTCTGGGGCCGTCTTGGGGCCTCTTGGGCCCTGCAGAGGACGTCTCGGAAGTGCCTTCTGCTGTCTTGGGCTCCCGATGTAGGCCTCGTGTCGCTCTCTTCGGGGTAATTTGGGCCGCCTCAAAGCATTGTGGGGCTCTCTTGGGGTCCTGTGGGGTTCATGTGGGGTCCATGTGGGGGGGGGGGTCGGTGACATGCCGGGTTTTTCCTTGTAATTTGATAGGTAGAAGGAATATATGTACATCAGAGTGAGGGGGCCGAACGGTCATTCATTGTCCCTGTGTGCGTGGCTGAAGTGAGATTCCGCGGTGCTGATTCGTGTTGTTGTTGTTGTTGTTGTTGTTTGTTGTTGTTGTTGTTTGTTGTCGTCGTCCCACCCGCAACCCGCCCCGCGACCCACCCGCGACCCACCCCGCGATCCACCCGCGACCCACCCGCGACCCACCCCGCGACCCACCCCGCGACCCACCCCGCGACCCACCCCGCGACCCACCCTGCGACCCACCCTGCGACCCACCCGCGACCCACCCGCGACCCACCCCGCGACCCACCCCGCGGCCCACCCCGCGACCCACCCGCGACCCACCCGCGACCCACCCCGCGACCCGCCCGCGGCCCACCCCGCGACCCACCCGCGACCCGCCCGCGACCCACCCGCGACCCACCCGCGACTCACCCCGCGACCCACCCGCGACCCACCTTCGACCCAAACCACGTTCAAGGTACAAACCAACATTTTCGGCGCCTGCGGCGGGCTTTTTTTGCATTCCTTCCAGGTGGAGAGCCCGCGACCCACCCCGCGATCAACTCGCGACCAACCCGCGACCCAAACCACGTTCAGGGTACAAACCACATTTTTCGGCGCCTGCGGCGGGCATCTTTTGAATCGTTCTAGGTGGAGAGACCGCGGCCCACCCGCGACCACGTTCAGGGTACAAACCAATTTTTTCGGCGCCTGCGGCGAGCATCTTTTGCATTCGTTCCCGGTGGAGAACCCGCGGCCCACCCGCGACCCAAACCACGTTCAGTGTACAAACCAATTTTTTCGGCGCCTGCGGCGGGCTGCTTTTGCAGGAGGACGAGGAGGGGAGGAGGAGGAGGAGGAGGAGGAGGAGGAGGAGGAGCAGCAGGAGAGGAGGAGGAGGAGCAGCAGGAGGAGGAGGAGGAGGAGGGAGGGGACGACGACGATGACGTCGACGACGACGACGACGAAAAGGAGGAGGGTGGAGGATCGGGAGGGGGGGAAGAGGAGGAGGACGACGAGGAGGAACATGACGACAATGGGAGGACGATGATGGAAGGACGAGGGGGGGAGAGGGAGGACGAGGAAGAAGCGGAGGAGGAGGAGGAGGAGGAGGAGGACGAGGTGGAGGAGGAGGACGACGATGACGATGAGAACGAGGACGAGGACGAGGAAGAGGAGGAGGAGAGGAGGCGGAGGAGGAGGAGGAGGAGGAGGAGGAGGAGGAGGAGGAGGAGGAGGAGGAGGAGGAGGAGGAGGAGGAGAGCGCCATCGACAAGGAAGGTGGGGGCCACGAGGTCCGCCGGCTTGACGACGCCCGCGTCGCCCGCGCCCGCCCCCTCACTCTTATCCGCAATTGCGGGGTGCTATATATATATATATATTATATATATATATATACACACACACACACCGTCCCCACAGCCCCCCGCAGATGTGGATAAGAGTGAGGGGGCGGTGGGGACGTCGGCAGTCTGCGAGGCTCTGGAGAAGCCCGCCGCAGGCGCCAAAGTTATACACATTACCGCCTTAGGCGGCGATTTTGTCGTTAAACTAATGTGGATAGGTCGCGGGTGGGTCGCGGGTAGGTCGCAAATGGGTCGCGGCTGGGTCGCGGGTGGGTCGTGGGTGGGTCGCGGGTGGGTTGCGGGTGGGTCGCTGTTGCGGGTGGGTCGCGGGTGGGTCGGGTGCGTCGCGGGTGCGTCGCGCGTGGGTCGCGGGGTGGGTCGCGGTGGGTCGCGGTGGGTCGCGGGTGGGTCGCTGTTGGGTCGGGGTGGTTCGCGGGTGGGTCGCGGGTGCGTCGCGCGTGGGTCGCGGGGTGGGTCGCGGGTGGGTCGCGGGTGGGTCGCGGGTGGGTCGCGGGTGGGTCGCGGGTGGGTCGCTGTTGGGTCGGGGTGGGTCGCGGGTGGGCCGCGGGTGGGTCGCGGGTGGGTCGCGGATGGGTTGCGGGTGGGTCGCGGAGTGAGTCGCGGTGGGGTCGCTGGTGGGTCGCGGGGTGGGTCGCGGGCTGGGTCACGGGGTGGGTCGCGGGCTGGGTCACTGGGTGGTTGGTGGGTCGCAGGTGGGTCGCGGGAGGGACGACGACAACAAACAAACAAACAAACAACAACAACGCAGCAACGCAACAACGCGACAAGCACGTTCGGCCCCCTCACTATGACGATAAATAAATACTTGGAACCCGTCTTAAACGCTAAATGCGTCGAACACGCCACCGTTATAAGAACACAGGATGGCTTACACCTCCACGCTGAAACCTCCGTATCCTGGCGCAAGTTACCTTGGCATGCACTGGACAGCCCCCAAACCACTCCACCGAGATTGCTTCCGTATCCATTGCTTGCGTTCTCGGAAGCCGAACGCAGAAGCGGTCGGCGTACAGGGTGTCGACCTCGAGCCTGGACTGCATGAGGGGCTGAATGGTGCAGAAGGGTGGAGAGGCCGATTAAATCGATCGTGATGGGCCTTTGACAACCAGAGGGGGGGAAGATACGAAGAGGAAGAGTAGAGGAGCTGATAGAAGAGAGGAAGAGGGAAAAGGGCGAAGGGGTCGACGCTGGCAGCAAGCCTTTCAAACACCTCCCCCCGCATACGCTGGTGAACGGATGACGCCAGTGGCACCTGCAGTGCAGCCCCAGGGGAGCGCGGCCTGCCATCAACTCGTAAATGAGGATGCCCAGTGCCCACCAGTCCACCTCGGGCTGGGGGAGGCAAGGGAGGGACGGACGGACGCTCCCTACGCACCAGGGCGCAGCCGCACCAGGAACGCATCGGTGGTGTCGTGGCGCCGAAGACTGCTCCCCGCATAAAAATTACCCTGGCGACGTGCCCAACCCCTACGCAATGCGGGGCAGGAGTAGCGTGGGAGATTTGACGAGAAGGCGGCGACGTGACATGGACGCATATACTTCTGCGAGCGGCATTCGGATGGTTCGCAGGCCCCCAACCAAGGGAAACACGATGAGTAACTAAGTGAACCACTGGGTCACTAGGGAAGATGCAATGTCCGAAAGGAGACGGTGGGCAAGGGGCTTGAAACGTCGGCGGGGCAGCAACAACATGACATGGCCCCCCAAGGACGGCGAGGCCCCGCTCAGGTCTGCGCAGTGCCTCACTCCGCTGGACCCACCAGCAGCCTTCTAATGTGGCGAGCCCACCAGCAGCCCTCGAAAGTGGCGACAGTTTTGCAGATCGCAGCAGCCCCGCGGGGACGGGGAGGTCTCGCTCAGGTCCGCGCGGTGT